TCCCACCCTGGACTTGCTGCTCCCCTTTGCAGAAGCTGCATCAGTTTTTGGGGAGATTCTGTCTCTCTCAAGAGGGAAAGGCGCCTCTCCTTGTCTTATCGGGAGTTGGGATCTCCCTGTTCACGTAATAAGCATTTGTAGGCTTGAGGGAGAGAGAGAGAGAGAGAGAGAGAGGGAGGCAGGACAAGGGCTACTCTGCAGCGCCCGCCAATGTGCTGACTGCAGAAGCATTACCTGGCACACTGTGCCAGTGCGTCAGCATTCTGCTCAGAAATGAATGAAAAATCAATCAGTGCAACTGCAGCGCTAAGCTCCCAGATCCAAGTCCAGCCTAGTTTGTGCATGGCCCTCCACACGCCTCCCGAACCCGGCGTGAACACTTCTTAAGATGGTAAGTTGCTCGTTTTTGCCCGTAAATGGATGCTGGTTTGAAAGAGGGGGGGGGAGGAACGGAAGGGATGATGCCTTATTTGGGACACGGTGTGCTGTGAGGTGCACTGTACAAAGTTTGCCTGGCTTTTAAAAGTGGCCCGAGGGTGCGTGTCATTACTTTATCAGTATGACTATCATCATTTAGGGTTTCAGAGCGTCTGGCCCCCGAGGCTGTATCTGGGCCAGTAGCACGTCAGTTCAGATACCCGGCAAACGGCGCGATGCCACTGATAAGCACCGCGCCGCTATTTCCAGCAGCGTTCAGCTTTCTGGGCCATTTCTCCAGGTCTTTCCTGTCTGTGTTGAAGCGTCGCACTGACACTGAAGGACATTGACAGAACTGCATCACTTTCCGGTTGGTACAAGGAGGCTGCTGCAGATTATAAATGTCAGGATGTGCGGGGGTGGGGGTTCATTTGGGGTGGGGGGGGGGAGCACGTAGGTGTTGCTGTAGTAAATTGTGCCCCATATGGACATCATACACGACGTGGTCTGGTCCCCCTGGGGGGCTGTATACTTTTAATGAGGGCATTCTGTGGAGCCAAAACCGCACAGTCAAAATTCTTTTATCAACCCCCCCTTTTTTGTCTTTAGTGAACAGGTCCCCTGGTGCTATAACAATGAACCCATTGCTGCTCTTTGCCTTCATTTCCCTGGGCCTGGCCGAAAGCGTCGACCACACAAACAGCGACAGTGAGCAGTACAAGACCATCTACGTCTCAGGTAGGAGAAGGTGGACAGTGACAGGCTGCAGCTGCAGGTGGAACCAGTCTGTGGCATCTGTCACTCCAGGTCTCCCTGCTTCATGTCATCCTGCCACTCGACTACAGTTGTGGGCTGATAAGTTTCGGGTCGCGATTCCTTGACCCTGTATAATCTCTTTGGCTTTCTTCCTGTTAAAAGGCAAGACTGTCCATCTGCGTGTAAGGCATCCTACGGGCCGCGTGTTCAGTCGATTAGTGTTTAGTGATAAAACCACAACTTGAATGATTCATGAGTCTTGCACATCTGTGGTATCACATCCATGGCCTCAGACTTAATTGTCAAAATTAACACTTTATCTGCTGCCTTAAACTTCCTGGCTTTTTCACCTCAGAAAAGCGTTTACATTGGTTCTCACAAGCAGTGTCATACATCATCGAGGGAGATTTTGAATGACAAGGTGAATCCAATGCTGATCACATGATTATCTTGGTTCTGTTCCATGTCCTGATGGGCTTTGTTTGTGTATGTGTGTCACTCTTGACTGACATGCTCTCTTTGAGAGAGAAAATGTAATGTTAGCCTGGCAGAATGCGTGCTTATGTCCGTTCTGCATTTTTGGAACCTCAATATCCTCCTAAGACCCATTTAATTTTTTTTCAAATTTATTTTTATTTTTAATTTCACAGCATGTTCTCCTTAGTGTACAACAGGAATAAATACGTTTCCTTACATCAGTGAAAAGATAGATGCGAAAATAAAATGTCCACTACAATGGACATAAATGAATGGGTGGGGTCTCAGGAGGTTACATCAAGCTTTGACTCAGTCCTATTTGAATCTATAGGTGTATTTTCTTCCCAAGACCTCAGCTTTACATGTAACTGATATCCCAGCAGGCCGCAGTCCAATGTGGTTTTAACTTTCCAAGTGACACCAGGTTTTCCCAACAAACCAAATAATTGATTACTGTACGTGAAAGACCTTTTGGCCAAACCTCTCATCTCCTCTTCTGCTTTTACAACGTCTGAAAAACAAAAATAGAATATCAAAATAGCTCTGTGCTTTCTTACTAAATTATAAAATTACATATTTCAATAGCAAATGTCACTAAAGTCCAGATTCGGTCCTTGAATAACATCAGTCACTTATGTGTGTATATCTATTATTTGATTTAATAGAAAGATAAATGGATGCAGGAGGTATATTGGTTAGGTACCAGTATTTAGGTATCTAAGTTACATAGATGAAAACAATAAGATATCGAGCCATATAAAACAATGGGACAGGAATGGACAGGTCACACTTAATGCATCTATTTACCAACCTGAATTGGAAGACCACTGACTAGCAGTTTATCTCACCATAATATTATTGCTAAAATTAGTAGTATCAACAGCTAAAAACAAGGTCGGAAATTATATTTTTCTGAAAAAATCACTATGACATCACAATAGAAATGTATTTGGTATACTTACATTGTTCAATAGAAGAATGATAATATCATGTCAAACATTATTATGTTATGCACTGTGAATCAAACCAGCTCAAAAACAAATAATAATAATATTTGACCTTGAGGATTTGCTGCAAAGAGAGTAAACGTGCTGGGAGTGTTTGGGGACGACCTGGTAAAAACGTGAGGAATGTAAATATGTGAAACAAAAAACGATCAAGACAATTACCAGGAGCAGGGAGTGGGTTTAATGAAAGAGGGAGATAAGAAAAGCAGAGAGGCACTGGACTTTTTTTTTTCCTGTTGTTGCTGAATTTTCTAGATCCAAGAGCTAAACAGTATTCAGAGTTGTGGGGGGGGGGGGGGGG